CTGGTCCTGGTCATTCTTAGCAGAGCAAGAACAGGAAATACAAAACATTTGTCTATTTTCTTCAGTGGAGAGTAATTTGGAGGGTGATTTATTATTTGCAGAGCTAAAATTCAATGTATTCAGATGTACACCATATAAGAAACAATTAGTCTTTGTATCGCAAGACAGAATCATGACCTAAAACTACAATGGAGCTCTGATAATCTACATATAGTTATAGACATGCTGTATAATTTGGTGGAAGCCCCTTACTGCCTTCATGACTTTGTTAGACGCCCCTGCTGCCACTCTGGGAACCATTATTTTGATAAAAAGCAGTTAAACACAAATGACGTCAGGAGTCAATTGAAAGATATCACACTGTCAAAGTATTGTCATGTGAAAAGCAGCTGCTTTGCTTGGAGCTGGAATGTAAATGTGTTTTTATCTCAAGTTCATGACACAGTCAGGCCTTTATTTATATCCAGGGCAGTGTCAGTGTCTCACAATTCTATATCCTATCTAAAACATTCCTAAGCTCTAAAATAAGCTGAACATTCCTACACTCTCTATCAATATTGTCGATAATTGTGATATTTGGCTCGAGCTCTATTGTATTGCTCAGTGTTACCACTGGACGGCAGCAGACTTTATATGTGACTCATTTTCTTTTGAACCACACGAGGAAAATAAACGAGAGCAAAGATTTTAAGTAGTAGCTGAGGGAACAAGAACAAGGTGCTTGAGTCATACGTAAACATAAACAGTGAAGCTACTCTGGCCATGAAACACATTAACATGTTTATATTGTTTTTCACTGCAGCAAAATGCACATTTAAATTTTCAGTTAAAAATATATCCTCATATGGTTTTTGAAGTTTTGAATCATTTTAGTTTATATCACTGATGTGGATGTCCTCTGGTCTGAGGTGCTGGGGACCAGTTAGAGACCAGCAGCTGGACGTCTGTGGTTGGACTTCACTGAAGAGTAGATGGTCTCTGGCTGTGGTTTAAAGTCTGAACACAAACACACACATTTCAAACAACAGGAAACAACATTACAAACTTCATAGCTCTTGGTGACTTTGTTGAAAGATTTAGTCACATTTCTAAATGTCCTGTGATAAACTGGTGTAGCCGACCTCTCACCATGAACAGCTCCAGCTCACATGTGAAACAGTGAAGCAGTAACAGTGAGCAGTGGTGCAGCATCTGTGTGAA